CGCTCCGACCCGAATTTGGAGGGCCTAAAAGTGTAAGGTGTTGCTGCGCAAAAGGGGTCGGACACAGGGCGCAGCTCATGCCAAGAGCTAGAAGGAAGGGGAATTCTTAAAACTGAGCTAGTACCGGGCTGAACTTGATCTAGATTGAGAGGCTGGCTGCACTCTCTGCAACTGAGATCCGAAAGTACTGCCAGCCAAGTTTGATTGCTGCTGCGATTTTCATTTCTTTTTCTCCAATGGGTCTACGTCTCTGCTGTGATAGGATCATCAGTACTTTGTGTGCTACCGACCGTGCCAGTGTCGAGCGATTCCGTGTGCGAGTCTCGCTCGGCGAACCCGCTTATTCAATCAAGCAAAAAAAGGGAGAAGAGGAATGGGGGAGGGGGGAAAGGGTCCGGTTTAAGGGAAAAAGGGCGCCAGCTGAACCTGAAGGATGAGCGGCGAAGCCGGAGAGGAGCTGGATACACCGGCCGCTCGCATCATGGCGCGTCGCGAGAGCCGCGCAAAGTCCAAAGAGAGAGGAGGTGTCTGTGTTGTTGAGTCTCTTTTGTTTGGGTGAGGTGTCCCCGAGAGTGATCCAGGCGTCTTCTTTATGTATGTGCGTGGTACTTTCCGAGCGTTTGAGTGAGAGAGATTTTTAGCAATACCAAACAACTCTAACACTCACACGTAATTTGGGGCCTGGAGCCCTGTTCACGCGCGCGCGAGACGTGCAGACAGGGTTGCCAGGTGAGAGCGAATTGTATATCCACGCGCGCGGTCAGTAGTTTCGGATGTGGGCTGCTAGCCGCGCTGCGGCTGGGCTCGCTCGTTTTCTCTGCAAAGAGAATGAATAAATAAAAGAATTTAACAAGGCAAACTCCCACGGACTATCGCAGACGCCGACTGATTTCTTCTTGGGGCGGCCGAGGCCAGCCAAACCGCCGCTCGCACTCTACCGCCCGGGGCGCACCGCGCGCGCGTTAGTTCCCGTTGCCGATGACGTTCCCCGACGAGTGGGGCGCCGGCGGCGGGGACGGCGGCCCGACCGAGTCGAAGCTCGTCCCGCTCTCGATGCAGAGCAACGAGGCGCTCCTCATCAAGACGCTGCTGGCGCGGAGCTGCCCGAGCGCAAGGCTGAGCCGCGTGCAGCGCGTGCAGAACAAGAAGCTGTGGTGCGAGTACGCCCACTACCGCGACGCGTCGCTCGTCCACACCTGCGCCGGCGGCGACGTCAACGAGATGCTCCTCTTCCACGGCACGGCGGAGCGGGCGGCGGAGGATGTGCTCGCACATCAGAACGGGCTCGACCCGCGCTTCTCGAACGGCGGCTTTTACGGCCAGGGCATCTACCTGGCGGAGGACCCGTCGTACCCGATCGGCGGCCGGTACGCGCACCGCATCTCCGGCTCGGGCGGGAGCCGCGTGCAGCTGCTCATCGTGAAGGCTGCCCTCGGCTCGCAGCAGGAGATGGGGCAGCGCATCAGCGCGGAGACGAGGGCGATGCGCATGCCGGACGTGCGCGTCGAGGGCCCTCCCCGACTGCTCTACGACAGCGTGCGCGGCGGGCCGCACCGCCCATTAGTCTCCGGCGGAGGCGAGAACGGGTGCGACGCGTCCGTTGTGCACATGGGCCCTGTTCACGCGCGCGCGAGACGTGTTGTTTTGGTAATTAGTGAGCTCGATTCACACAACAAATTGGAAGTTGGCAGGGACTGGCGCGCGTCCTCCCATCCCTCCCTTGGGTTGTCTGTTTTCTTTCTTTTTTTGGGCGCGCACTGGCACTAACACAGGTACACCACGCAAAAAGAATTCTGCGTTGGGACTGAGCTGGCCATGAGAAAGACTCGGAACACAAAAGCAGCGCTATTCCGACAGGTGGGGCGCTTGCTTGAGTGGGCTAAGTACTCCATGTTGAGGATGTGAGCGG